TGTTGTCACATCACCAGAGGCCTTCTTTAAATATTTAATCTAATGTTCTTCCATTACTCTCACCTATCACCCATCTATTTAATTACTTATTACTTGCCTTCCCATCTCACCAGAAAAATGATCAGAGCTAATGTTTAAAATAGATGTGCCAGGCACTGTCCTAAGTGTTGTGCATATATTAACTCTTTGAACCTGCACAACAACCAATAACATATGTCATTATTATTCTTATTTTCAAACAGTGAGGACAGTGAGACACAAGAAGTTAAGCAACCTGCCCAAGGTCATCAGCTGTAAAAATAGCGTACTTGGAGTTCAGACAATTAGCAGCCTGATGCCAAAACCTATGGTCTTAACCATTAAGTATCCTATTCTTTTTTTATTAAGGTGCCATTGATATATACTCTTATGAAGGTTTCACAAGGAAAACAATGGGGCTACTACATTTACCCATATTATCAGTCCCACCCATACCCCATTGCAGTCACTGTCCATCAGTGTAGTAAGATGCCACAGAGTCACTACTTGTCTTCTCTGCAACACTGTCTTCTCCATGATCCCCCCACACCATGTGTACTACTACTAATACCCCTCAATCCACTTCTCCCTCCCTCCCTCTGCCCACCCCCTCCCCTTTGGTAACTATTAGTCCATTCTTGGGTTCTGTGAATCTGCTGCTATTTTGTTCCTTCAGTTTTGCTTTGTTGTTATACTCCACAAATGAGGGAAATCATTTGCCTACCTCTCCTTGAGTGGGACCTGGTTCATGTCCCCAGCCCTAAAACAATACTGGTTAGTGTTGTATGTTAAGTGAATTAATACATTGTGATTAATTCAGTGTCATACTATTAAGCAGAGTGATGAAAGTACTGACACAAAGAGATTTCCACATGTGTTGTTAAGTAAATTCAGCAAATACAGAGCATTATGTATAGCCTGATCCTGTTTTTGCAAAAAAAGTACATATTTATGTATATAGCATATGTAACATCTATAAGATATGTATATATGTATATGACTGTAGGGGGGGTGCATAGAGACAAACCAGAAGGCTAAATATCTCCATGATCATCGCTAGGGAATAGGATTGGTGAAACAAGGGTTATTTTTTTATAGCTTCTTCAAAAAAATTTAGTTAAGAAGTACTTGTTTAAAAAAAAAGTTTAAGGACAATTTGTAAAAGTTTTGGCAAAAATAAATGCACTATTTCTCTCTTGTTTCATACACTCTTGAATTATAGCCTCAAAAAGACCAATTCTCTAAAAGTTCTATATTTTGCAAGACTATAAACGAATTGAAGTGGTTGTTCCTTACTTCATCTGATCCTAAGTTTTGCAATGTGGTTTTTGTTCAGGGTATCTTCATTTACTTTTGTTTTTTCCTAAGTGGGGGGTAGAAAGTGGGAGAAAGGCTGCATTTTCAAAACTTGAGAGCTAAATATATCACCCTAGGAATTATCACATAATAACTTCAGCCATTGTCATTGATGTACTTATTATTATATGATCATGACATTGTGCTGTCATATTACAAAAGTCTGCATGCTGTGATATAACTCTTAGCATTGAACATGTACATACACCTTTATTTTCCAGCATCTGACTTTTGCATTTCATTCTGGATAAAGGCAGTATTAGCTCATAGGCTGGTTGGCTTATCACAGGAGCAAGATGTGCATGTGGAATTTTCTTTACAAATGGGCTTCTTCAAGGTGGTTGAACTCATTCTCCTCCTTCAGGGAAGCAAAGCTGAGGAGCAAGGTTAGCTGAGGTTGGAAATGTGTATGCAGATCTCTTCTTATTTAAGCATTCCAAGAATGCAGTGTCCCGTGCTTCAGAGTTGCATAATAAAAATGTTTGGCACCAAGGTGTTTGACTTGACTTTGTAGTGTAGCCTCTCAGGGTCAGGCTATTTTTCTGGAGTCCAGAGGTCCCATCATTATGCCAGGTCACAGGAAGGGACATGAAAGGTGAGGGGAGGATAGGGTGGGGACCAGAGGGCCTGGGGCGTCAGAGAGGGCAAACTGTCTGGCACCCTCACAGATTCTCAGTCCTGCCTACATGTTAGAGCACCTGCAAGCTTTTAAAAAAGACTGATGCCTGCCTCACCCCAGACTGACTGAACTGGAATCTTTGTGTTTGGGCCTAGGCACTAGTTTCTAAAAACAATCTCTCCAAGTTTTGGTAATGGACGGCTGAGGTTGAGAACCACTGGCTCACATGTAGCACACAGTGACTTCTAGAAACTCATGTGCACATTAGGAAGGAAGTGGGGGGCTGGATGTTCACTAGAATGGGTGGACTCACAATATTGCACATTCCTGGGGAGGCTGAAACTACCTCTATCCAGATTCCATTGTTCCTCCTGCTCTAATAGGCCCCTACTGTTGAGTGAATGCAAGTGGAAGGTGGTTCTCGTGAGTGGTGTTGAACAGCAAGTTAGAGGATCTGAGGGGAGATAAAAATCACTTATTCAAATAAAATACACACAGTCAGGGCCAGGCAGGTTAAGGCAGAGCTGGTTATATTTATTCAGCATGGTAGAGTTCGCAGTATCATTTTGTGATCCATTTTCTCATCAGGGCCTTCAGGTAAGCCTGCGAGGTGGGCATTCTTGTGATTTGATGAAATGAGGAAACTGAGGCCTCAAAGAATCTGAGTGCCAGGATCACACAGCCATTATCTGACCAAGTAAAACCAGAACCTGCCTGGCTACCATTTCAGAGCTCACTCTGTTTCCCTGCAGCAGCTTTAAAAGGCTGTCTTTGATTTTCATTTCTCCTGCTTCAACTTATAAGTCGCTAGTTCTCTTCAATTCTTTATGCATGCTTGTGACACCAGAAAAAGAGGACTACCTAGTGAAAAACTGACCAGGAAGACATCTGCCAAAGGAGCATGGGAAATGCTAAACAACCTGCTTTTCTGATTCTTTCATTTATAGATGGTTTATGTTAAATCCATTTATACATTTCTAGCATTCATCTGTTACAGAAATAGCTAACATTTGTAGAACACATGCTATATGCCATGGGCTTTATGAAAATTAATTCCTTTAGTCCTCAAAAACCACATGGCATAGGTACTATTATTGATTCTCATTTTACAGGTGGGAAAACTGAGGACCAGAGAGCTGAGGCAACTTGCCTAAAGTCACACAGCTAGTGGATAGTACAGCCCAGTTTGAATCCGGTTTGTGGCAACAACTCACAGACTTACCCATTATACTGTGCTGACTCTTGGAGCCACAGCCCCGCCAATCAGAGTTCCCAGTCTGGCTGTGGACTCTTCCTTTTCTTGGTGTTTCCCGTATTATAATAATTGTATACCCTTATTGTGCTTTTATCACCCTTTAGACATTGTTCCAAGGGTTTTACAAATATTATCTCATTTAATTTCTTAATGCTGGAGAGTGGGCCCCAGAAGCAGCTGCTCACAGGGAGGCTCTCCTGTTGGTGAATCTTCTTGCCACCACCTCTCTTTCAGCAAAGACCCCTTGGCCCCTCCAAAGATGCTCTGTGTCAGACTTCTGTGACTGGAGAAGTGCCTCCTTCCCTTCTGTCCTCATGGTTAGACCCTGTACGATCAGCTCTCCTTCCTGGTTCTTGGCTGTGGCGGGTGAGATCACCTCCCCGTGAGTTAGTTTGCCTTCTGCCCAAAGCCTTCTCACATCGTCCAGGTAGATGGAGACAGACTCACTCACGCAGACCTGCTCATGAAACACTAATCTGTCTCTGTATGACTGGGCTATAAGAGGTTGCAGGATGTCTGGGCTGAAGCAATCAGATCCTTGCTTGCCGAACCTGGCTGACTGAACACCAGTGAGCCATGACATCAAATGAGGGCTCACAGTCCTGTCCTGCAGGGAGCCTCCTGGAGGCCAAGTGGACCCTCTTACAGATTGCTCTGCAGGGTTCACTAGGGCCAGTGGCCTCAGCACTCACTGCTCTCACACCAGTTCTTTGCTGCCTTCAGGATTTCCCCTCTATTTCCCTGTCTCTGCAGCATCATTCCCTGGGGCTTATGGCTGGATCCTTCTCTGCCTTCAGATCTCAGTTCAACTCTGGGTCTCATTGAACCCTTCCCTGGTCACTGTGCCGAAAGGAAGCGCCACTCCTTCTCAGCCCTCACTCACTCTCTTCACACCATCCTTATTTCTTTCACACCCTTTAATCATCGTATTTATTCCTTTGTTTACTTACTATCCTATGAAAATGTGAGCTTGAAGACAAGGAGTTTTCTTTTTCACTCACTGCCCCGCTGGATACCTACCAATCAGCATGGTGCCAGGCCCATATTAGGTGCTGAATAAATATGGATTGAATGAGTAAAGAATACTCTGCTACTGAGGCTCATGGTATTGGCTCTAATACCAGTAGCTCATTTCCAGCATCCTAACCCTGCCAATGACCTTTTCTTTTTTACATCTCCAACATCTCCTAAATCAGTCTGCACCTTTTTTAAGGGTTTTGCTGCATCAGGTAAATGACTTTAGGCTGGTCCGCTTCTTCTTAATTTCCCCCATGTTGAGTGAAGTTGGTGTTCCCTGTGAACACCTTCTTAGTAATAAAATCAGAAAGGCAGTTTGGGCCTTTGGTGAAGGGGCTGTCACGGAGGAGAATGGGTGCTTTGTTATGTCTCTTTGGGAATATGTAGGTCAAATGGAAGAGTCCCCAAAAGTTTGAACAGCTGAAAAAGGCAACTGTGCCCAAGACCACGTACATTGGATGCCTAGGGACATGTAAAGGCTAAGCTACATTCAACAGGTTTTCTGGTTATTTGTAAGATGTAACTGCACACAAAAGATGCCAGCATATGAGGCAAATGCTAATGAAAACAAGTGATGACCAGTACTTTGCTTGTAGCAGAGAGCAGTCACTGGGGGCTGGGAAGGCTTTATGGGATTTAACAAGGCCATGGTAGGCAAAGGATTTGGTAAGTTTGCTTGGGTGTGTTCTTCAGCCTTGGTGCTCTGTGTACTCAGTGGTATCTTCGTCCCCTTAGGTAAAGACTTCAGAGGCTCCACTAGTTGTCTGGCTGCAGGGTGGGCCAGGAGGTCCATCCATGTTTGGACTCTTTATGGAACATGTTGTCACAAGAAAGTAGTGCTTGGATTCTATTTCCCTGTGGAGAATCCTTCATCTGAGCCTTCTGTCTGCTCCGGAAATAATGGAGAGTGTGCACTGAACCACTAGGACTAGCTTAACAGTAACAGTTCAAGTTATAAAAACATAGCTTTCTGACAAAGTCTGCCCAAGAAGGAGGAGCCACCAGAGGGAGTGTCCCAGCTGAGCTGCTTTTTCCCTTGAAAATTTGGGTGAAAGGTTCTAAGCTATTTTCTCTCAGGCTGCTGCTGACTCAAGCAATCTGGGTCATGAAAACAGTTGGTATTTATTACTATTTGGGTGAGTGCTTTTGCTTTGGAAGAGAGGGTGGGATTATATCCCTAATCATTCACACAAACTGAACACTGCACGGTTCAGTCACAGAAACGATTGGGGATCTTGGAAGCCAGGTACTGTGGCTGGGGGCAGGGTCAAGGAAGGAATGGAGAGGAGCCGAGGAGCCACATCTGGCTGTCAGCCAGCCTTATCTCCACCTCAGCGTGTTGGTGGGAGGAGATTGTTTACTTTCCCTGGATCAGAATTTGGAGGTGAATCAGTTTGAGACTCAGTATAAAAGCACATGTGCCAATTCTACTGAAGTTACTCTCTTCAGCATTGGATGGAAGGATGGAAGAGGATTCAGAAGGATTGGCCATTAAGAAGATGTATGAGATACATGGTTTTATTGTGTAGGTGGTTGATGAGTATTTCCACATGAACCAGTTGCATGGGGTTTTGTTTTCCAGACTTCCCCTGAGATGTGGAAACCGTGTGGGTCTGGGAAGGGTAAAGGAAAGGAGAGGAGGAAGAGAAGGTGCTGGGATCTGTTCCCCACTGTGAGAGTATAGAGCAATAGCAGAGGGCCGCCGCCATTCACAGATGTGCTGAGGACAGGTGGGTGTGTTAGGGTCCCGACCAGACATAGGCCTCAGGTGGGATGTTTTGTTAATGACCCAATCTCAATCCTCTTCTCTGTTTTACTAGTGCATGCCAGAGATTTTCCCTGGATTACTACATTCTCAGTGCTTTACTTTGATAATTCAGTGAGTACCCAGTGGTCCTATGAAAGGCCAATATTAGCCTATCTTGTCTTTGTTCTTCTTATTAAGTATGTTTAAGAAAAAGGGGGAAAAAGAAAAACAGAGATTCAGATTTTTTTTGCCTTAATATAGAATTTAATCAGTTAAAAACCCATTTGAGATATAATTTTTTTAGCATCATCATTATATCTGAGTTTGGGAATTTTACTTGCTGCTTTCTCTCCTTCCCTCATTTTTAGTCTTATGAAATGTCCTGCTCACTGAATTATATCATCCAGGATAAGGGATTGGTTTCTTCCCACTGACTGTATGGCTTCTCCATATCATAGGGTATTTTATAGTGTCAGAACTCCTAATCTATCAAATAGAGTTAAAAAAAGGTATAAAAAATGAAAACTGGTCTCCTTCACTTACCACAGTGAAGTGCCTCATCTCGAAACAAAAAGTGGAACTCCTTGGGAAGTCAGCTGAAATCGAATCTAATAAACTGAGAAATAGGAGAGTCACTTTAGGGTATGTGTCTGCAGGTTGGGGTTGTCTTTGCACCCTAGCTTATTTGTCTACCTTCTCTCATGTCCCAGATGGTTCAAAGAGAAAGCAGATACATAGGGAGAAAAAAATCCAGCATTCTTGTTTCTCCCTCCCCCCACAACATTCTGTCAACCATGCTCTTTCCTAGTCTGTAATTGCATATTCAAATAAAAGCTGGGCAAAATGTCCTGTCCCTTTTGGTGTTTAAGAAAAACAAAAACAAAAATATTTATGCTTGGTGGGGGATGATTCCTTACACAAGTTATTCACGCAGAAGAAGTGGTAGCTTCTTCTTTTGATTTACGGCTTAGTTGTCTATGAACTACTCGTTATAAGGAAATATTAGTTTAAAACTAATCTTTATTTTAAACCCCCTTATCTACTGAAGGTGAAAGGGCTTAACAGCCATATTTCTCACCAATAAATAAATGAACCTTTCCACCCCCACCCCTGGCCACACACATACAACTTTTATCTCCAGTCTAGAGAGTTTTCATTCCTGGCAGGACAGAGCAATACACCCTCCAGATTTCAGAGAGGAGATGACTTTGGGTGTTTTGATACTGTAGCAGGGGCCAGAAAAGGTGAATTCCTCAATCTTAAATCAACATCTTGACAGGGTCCTCACTCTGGAAATCAGGACAGCTCAGTCCCTGACCCTAGGGCAGGGCTCTGTTCTGATATTTTATTGGGGCTTGGAAGAGGGGAAGGGGATGTGGGGAAAGTTGGGGTTTCTATGGCCAGGATCCTCACCTGAATCTAAACTATGATGATGTAACTGGCCTGCTGCTAGACTACGGCTTCCACACTCGTGGGCAATAAGCTATTACTGAGTCACTATATATATAAAGAGCTCTGCCCAGTGCTCTGGGCGGAGGCAGAGACAAAGCAGGATTGCAGAGACAAAGCAGGATTACAGACCTGCATACTGTTGGATGCAGACGTAATTCTAGTGCTTGACCTATCACAGTAGAACTAGCCGGGTAATAAACCCTTTCACCCCAAGAATGTTCCATTGTCATTCCTTGGTCTTACTGAATCCATAGTGAACTTGCCTGGGTGAAACCCATTGGCAAGACAGGGAAATAGATGAAATGCATTTCCTCTCTTGTGAGGGTGGCTAAACGCACATAGGGTGATGGCAAAAATCTGAGGTCAGAGGCTTGGCCTTTGGAATAAGGTCGATTTCCTTTCAGTATGACATCTCTCTGCAGGGCTCTCAGGCATGTGTTTCTCTGTGTTTATACTGCCTTATTTATTTTGCCTTCAGGTGGGCAGAGGCTTCAGTTTTACCAATGACCCCCAGGGATATGCAGTCAATGAGGAGGATGTGGCACAAGATTTATACAGGTAAAGGCCCTGGCTCACTCTAGGCTACCTTTAGACCAAACATTTTTCTATTTCATTGGGAAAATTCTCCCAGTAGTAGAAGTATTACTGGTTGGTCTTCACAGTCTAATTCCTAATGACATTTTAAGAATACTTCTGCTGAGGGGTTCATACACACACTCAGAATCAATTTTTCCTCTTTGTTACCTTATCACTGATAGTTGTGAAAGTGGCCAGCAGAGCCAGTAACAAGAGAGCTGAAATTTTAAGGTATGATTGTAATGTCATAAAAATATCCTTTAAGAAGCAATAGAAATGAGCAGAATTATACAACCAAAAATTATTTTCAGACCTTTCGACCAGGTGCCTGAGAGGGTTCTGCTTATTTTCCAGCATTACATGTAACTTTGCATTTTCCAGGAAACACCTTCTCAGATGTTTGTTTTCTTCCCCAGGACTCTTCCTTTTGTGGCCTTCAGATGCAATTTTTCACTGTCTTGCTTCTCCATGACTTTTCCAGCTGAAAGCTCAACTTGTTAGCTAGTTCCATACCTTTCCCTTCATCATATGAAATTATTCTTTTACTGAAAAATAAAATAAAAGGCAAATGTAAAGTTGCAAACCTGATCGAACAGTGTATATATAATTTCTTTTCCTTACTCAACATTTTTGTAGTTATTTTTAGTACTTTTTTTTTTTTAAGTAAGTGGCCTTTCTTACTTGGTCACATTTTTCCAGTCTGTAAATTATTCTTAGAGACCAAGTCCTGAATTCTTTCACATCACTAGGGCATCATTTTATGCATTATAATAATTTACTAAAGGAACCCCAGTGGCCAGAAAGAGTTAACTAGCTCCACTGACCACTCCCTCTACTAATTGGTGAGCAACCCAGCCAGTCCCCAACGTGAAAGTGAATCTAATAGGATGACTCCAGAGTTTTTGAACTCTGGCAAAAGCTTTCCTTTTTATTCTTTCTCCCCAAGACAGTTGGCTGGGTAAGAGAGGAACTTCCGGCCTTTCTCCCCAAGATTTTCTCTCACTTCTTTTGCTGACCCAGGAAACAGAATGGCTATTGTCTTCTACACTTTCATTTGCCACGTGTCCCATTATTTTAACACTTCCATTCACTTTATGGGGTGATGTCTAAGACCCCACACTTCTGCTTCCAGGTGCAGTGGGTGCTGAGAACAGACTAGCCAAGTCGTCCCAGGGTCCCCATCCCCCTAGCTCCCTCACCTCCTCTTTGCACCCACAGACCTAATCATGTTGGCTGTGTCTACAAGTTTACTCTAGAGCCATCTTTCTTATTTAGCACCAACTATGTGCTCTAGTTTTTCAGATGGGAAACTTACTTCTTCCTTTATCCCCTACCCCCCACATCCCAATCCTCTCTTGGCTTAAATCCAAACAAGCTCATTTGTCTAATCAGCAAAGAGTCCTTGGGCAGAGGGTCTGTATTAAAGAAATGCATCGATCCCCTCTCAGCCACAGCATTGCAACCCTGCCGTGTCTTTTCTGTCTCTCCTTCCCCTCCCCCAAAGTGGTCGCAGCTTCCAGCTGACCCTCTGTGTGGATATTTACTGCTGACATGTGGTACTCCTCTTGCATGACATGTAAAGAAAACCTATTTCAAAGCATCCATTGTTTATAGATGTTTTAGTTCTTTTTGCTTTAGGCTCTTAAAACTGGAAAATAGCTAATCAAGGGGAGTGCAGAAAACTGATTTCAGCTGTTTCCTGTATAGTTTACACTATTTGTTTCCTTTTGCGACTTGTTCTTCTCTCCAGCTCTGCAGATAGGTGTTTGGAATAAGAGGGTCACTTTGAAACCTGTAAATGGGTTGCTGGTGGTTTAAAGAGTAGACGTTTCTTTTTCTCCCTTTCAAAACCATCTTTCTTTTTTTCTGAAAAACCCATTCTTTTTGACTATTAATAGTGCATGGCTGTAAGGAGTAGTCTCCTAAAGAAGTATTTGGCATTCATATTTAGTCTGCTTTTCTTTGTGTTTGGAAATAAAACTCTGTCACTAACAAGATGTTTATTCTTTTTTTTTTTCCTTTTTGGAGTGTGCTGTTGAGCCACAACCCCTACTAAAGAATAATAACCTTCTAGCTTCAATTTGGAGATTAGTAGCTAGTGTCTCTCTCCTTCTGCCACTGTGTGTTGATTGCCTACTATGTGCTGGACACTGCTCCTGGTGCTGTAGTAAACAAGCCCACAGGCCATGTCCTCCTGGGGCTGACAGTCTAGTAGCATGCCTAAAGTTATCTTCTTAGCAGCCAAATGGTTATGCTCCTGTCATGCTATTCCACATGGTGGTTTGTATGGGAAATAATATCTACAGGTAAACAAAGCTTCGTGACAATGTAACTATGAAAGAGGTTTCATATATTAAGTAAGTACACTGTTTGATTCACATGGAGCAGAGAAAATCGTGGCCCGGCCATGCAAATGTGGAATGAATGCAGAGGATGGCTTCCCTGTTGGCTGCAAGAGAACAAAACTGCCAAGGTTCTTGCTGCTGTGCTTATTTGAGTCAAACTCTCAGTGACTAAAGCTACACCTTGTTTGTCTTTTGTTGGTATGGAGCTTTTGCTTGATTATTTTAACCTCGATTCTCTTGAATATCTTGTATTCATTATGCTTCTGACTACATTAGAACTGACCAAATACCAATGCTGCTGTTGGGTCTGTAGTGCATTGTCATTTCTGTATATCTTCTCTGCCTCCAACCCACCAGCTTTACTTTAAAAAAAAAATTATCTGAGGAATAATTTTCATCTCATCATTCTCCCTTGCAAACTCTCTTTCTTCCTATTGTTCTTTATTGTAACTTTCTGCTACCAGGTAGCCATTAACTAAAATTCAACTTACTAGGCAAGGCCTTGGCACAATGCCAGCAAGGTTGCCAAATGGAATCATCTGGAAGAGATATGATTCCTACGTCATATAGCTCTTGTGTCTCAATGCATGGAGTACACACATGTGTATTATGCATTTAATATAATATACATTATATATACACGCACATACATTATGTCTTATGCATTTTAGCAAGTCTGTTTCTAAATGTGAAATTTATGTAGACATGATTTTGGACTATTTTTAAGCAAACCTTCACCATGTAATAAGAATAGTCCTTGACTAAAATACAGTGAAACAAGCAAATGGCCCATAAATCTAAGTTACTAAATTTACCTTTTTCATTCTTCACTCCCAAGACCTTGAAAGACTGAGGGCTTACTATTATTAGTTGAATTTTTACTCTGATCTTACTATAAAAATAAATCTCTATAACTTCCTTACTTGAGACCTTGCCTTGGAAAATTAAGCTAGAGAATCCTGGCATTTTCAAGTTAGAAGCAACCTGGGAGATGATCTCCTTCCACTAAGATTGCCAGATAAAATATAGAATGCTCAGTTAAATTTCAGTTTCAGATAAAAAAATGAATACTTTTTTAATCTAAGTATGTCCCAGGCAATATTTAGGACATACTTATATTAAAACATTACTTGTTTATCTTCAATTGAAACTTAATTGGATGTCTTGCATATTTATTTGCTGAGTCTGGCCACCCTTAACAACTCTCTAACAAATTCTCCAAGGAAATAGGCTTTAAGCTAAAGCATATGGCTTAATTGAGATTTACTATATTAAAATGTCTATTGCTATTTCAACTAGCAGTAAGGGAGAAAGAGAAGTAGTTTTTAGCCTGAAGGTTGGAGTGGGAAGGGTGGAGAATAAACTCCTATTTTTATCTCTGCTCTAAAGCCAGCTTATTGCCAGTACAAACATGGAAGCTATGTAATGCAGCTTCCCAAATTTAGCTGCTACAAAGATTTTTGTTACTATAAATAATAAATAGAGAAATACACCAAACCTCTGCAGTAGTGTTTAATGGTGGATTTCTATTGAGCCTTTGATAATTAAGTATAGCCAGGATTGTGGTGATTGTAATGACCCAATTTTGCCTCTGTGTAACCCTTGAACTTTCTTCTCCTACTGGTTTCCATGGCCTCCTTGCCTTTCATCTTCACTAGATGGTTCATAGCTTTTAGTCCCTCAGCAGGAAGCTGGAAAAAAAACCCTGCCTAGCTTCTCAGGCATTATGATCTGGGTTAAAACACTCAGTCAGAGTTTCTGAGTTTCACAAGTTTTTGTTTCCACTTTGAAAGATTTTGGTCAAGCAGAGCGTCATTCAATAATCCACTCTTTTCTTGCTTATTATGAGATAATTTATTGAGTCTGTTTAAATCTATTTCAGTATAACTCACTGAAGCAGCTGTTGGCATTCTTTAGTAAATGTGATTCTTTTCAAGTCTAGGAGCCACTGTATATTTACTTCCATATCTGTGGGCATTTGGTGGTTTCCCTTTAGACTACAGTAATTGTACAGCTCTTTTGTTCTTTGGTTATTAAAGAACTGAAATTCTGGGATCCCCATTAGAAATGTTCAGGGTTCCCCACAGGGAGAGGTTGGTAAGCAACTAAGGTTCTCATTATCTCACCACAAACCTGGGTTAATGGGGTCATAGGTTTGTAGAACTGCTTCCAAGAATTGCTAAATTAGGTGGAAGCCTGTAGCACTTTGCTCAAGGGTCTGCTCAACAGCTACATGATCCATGATGGTAACCCAGAGATTTGGAAATCTGCCCAGAGGGTTGATGTCCACTTGTCTCAACTACTTAGTATCACAAAGTAAGCCCACAAGTATTTTCTAACCATCCACAGAATATGGAATGTCATGCACATGAGACTTTGAAAACTATGCCTACAGGAGCTCATAGCATAATGGTATCTTATTTCAGATTTGAAACCTGTTGTCAGGCTTGGAACTGGTAGCAGTAGCATGAAGCTATTTGAATTCCATGTGATTTTTATTCTTTTTGCAGTGCACTAGTTCAGTTTTTCCAGTTGTTTCTTGAATATAAAGAAAATGACTTTTATGCCACTGGGGAGGTAAGTTGAAGTCATGCTTTCATGTGTACTTCTAATATTATGAGTACTAAACTATAGGATGACACTTGTTTGCTCATTCATTACACATATGCACACACACACACTAATATTATACTAGGCAAGGCCTTGGCACAATGCCAGCAAGGTTGCCAAATGGAATCATCTGGAAGAGATATGATTCCTACGTCATATAGCTCTTGTGTCTCAATGCATGGAGTACACACATGTGTATTATGCATTTAATATAATATACATTATATATACACGCACATACATTATGTCTTATGCATTTTAGCAAGTCTGTTTCTAAATGTGAAATTTATGTAGACATGATTTTGGACTATTTTTAAGCAAACCTTCACCATGTAATAAGAATAGTCCTTGACTAAAATACAGTGAAACAAGCAAATGGCCCATAAATCTAAGTTACTAAATTTACCTTTTTCATTCTTCACTCCCAAGACCTTGAAAGACTGAGGGCTTACTATTATTAGTTGAATTTTTACTCTGATCTTACTATAAAAATAAATCTCTATAACTTCCTTACTTGAGACCTTGCCTTGGAAAATTAAGCTAGAGAATCCTGGCATTTTCAAGTTAGAAGCAACCTGGGAGATGATCTCCTTCCACTAAGATTGCCAGATAAAATATAGAATGCTCAGTTAAATTTCAGTTTCAGATAAAAAAATGAATACTTTTTTAATCTAAGTATGTCCCAGGCAATATTTAGGACATACTTATATTAAAACATTACTTGTTTATCTTCAATTGAAACTTAATTGGATGTCTTGCATATTTATTTGCTGAGTCTGGCCACCCTTAACAACTCTCTAACAAATTCTCCAAGGAAATAGGCTTTAAGCTAAAGCATATGGCTTAATTGAGATTTACTATATTAAAATGTCTATTGCTATTTCAACTAGCAGTAAGGGAGAAAGAGAAGTAGTTTTTAGCCTGAAGGTTGGAGTGGGAAGGGTGGAGAATAAACTCCTATTTTTATCTCTGCTCTAAAGCCAGCTTATTGCCAGTACAAACATGGAAGCTATGTAATGCAGCTTCCCAAATTTAGCTGCTACAAAGATTTTTGTTACTATAAATAATAAATAGAGAAATACACCAAACCTCTGCAGTAGTGTTTAATGGTGGATTTCTATTGAGCCTTTGATAATTAAGTATAGCCAGGATTGTGGTGATTGTAATGACCCAATTTTGCCTCTGTGTAACCCTTGAACTTTCTTCTCCTACTGGTTTCCATGGCCTCCTTGCCTTTCATCTTCACTAGATGGTTCATAGCTTTTAGTCCCTCAGCAGGAAGCTGGAAAAAAAACCCTGCCTAGCTTCTCAGGCATTATGATCTGGGTTAAAACACTCAGTCAGAGTTTCTGAGTTTCACAAGTTTTTGTTTCCACTTTGAAAGATTTTGGTCAAGCAGAGCGTCATTCAATAATCCACTCTTTTCTTGCTTATTATGAGATAATTTATTGAGTCTGTTTAAATCTATTTCAGTATAACTCACTGAAGCAGCTGTTGGCATTCTTTAGTAAATGTGATTCTTTTCAAGTCTAGGAGCCACTGTATATTTACTTCCATATCTGTGGGCATTTGGTGGTTTCCCTTTAGACTACAGTAATTGTACAGCTCTTTTGTTCTTTGGTTATTAAAGAACTGAAATTCTGGGATCCCCATTAGAAATGTTCAGGGTTCCCCACAGGGAGAGGTTGGTAAGCAACTAAGGTTCTCATTATCTCACCACAAACCTGGGTTAATGGGGTCATAGGTTTGTAGAACTGCTTCCAAGAATTGCTAAATTAGGTGGAAGCCTGTAGCACTTTGCTCAAGGGTCTGCTCAACAGCTACATGATCCATGATGGTAACCCAGAGATTTGGAAATCTGCCCAGAGGGTTGATGTCCACTTGTCTCAACTACTTAGTATCACAAAGTAAGCCCACAAGTATTTTCTAACCATCCACAGAATATGGAATGTCATGCACATGAGACTTTGAAAACTATGCCTACAGGAGCTCATAGCATAATGGTATCTTATTTCAGATTTGAAACCTGTTGTCAGGCTTGGAACTGGTAGCAGTAGCATGAAGCTATTTGAATTCCATGTGATTTTTATTCTTTTTGCAGTGCACTAGTTCAGTTTTTCCAGTTGTTTCTTGAATATAAAGAAAATGACTTTTATGCCACTGGGGAGGTAAGTTGAAGTCATGCTTTCATGTGTACTTCTAATATTATGAGTACTAAACTATAGGATGACACTTGTTTGCTCATTCATTACACATATGCACACACACACACTAATATTAATTGAGCCCATATTCAGAATTCTCTGATATCCCTCAAATGTCCTCCATAACATAATTTTTTTTAAAATTCAGGGCTCAATAAAGATCTGTAGGTCATAAATGGTTGTCCTGTCTCAGTCCCCTGCCTTTTTTGTTGTTGTTTTGTTGTTGTTATCATTCATGGTGATGATGTGTTAAGGCCAGGCCCTCTGTAGAATGTCCCACTCTGCATTTATCTGACTCTTTCCCCAGTGCTTAGGTTCAGTGACAACATCTTGGCAAGAACACTATGTAGATGATGTTGTGTACTTTCTATTGTATCCCATCAAGAGGCACATCATGTCCATTTGTCCCATTACCAGCAATGTAAAACTTGGTCACTTGGTCAAAATGGTATCTGTCAGATCTCATTGAAAAGGTACCTTTTTCCTTTTTAAATTAATAAATAATCAAAGATCATGTGAACATCTCTTTCCCCTGAATCTGTCACCCAATAATTTTAGCAGCCATTGATGATTCCTGTCTGAATCAATTATTATACTGGGAGACTATAGAATAGATTTTTCTGTTCTATCTTCTGATAGATACCATATGGTATTCTTTGATAAAGAAGATCTTTCCTTCCTCCTCTTCTTTCCTTTTTACTTTTAAAAACATTAGTGGATTCATGGGTTGTTTTTCTGTTTCCTGGGTTAAAATTTACTGATATGATTATTGTTTTGATGCTCATGTGGTTCCATATTTGGTCAATGGGAGCCCCTTCAGTCTGGCTCCTGTGACCTTTTTACAGGTCTTCATTAGTCTTTGAGCATTGCCTGGCTTTTGGGTCCAAATATATGTTATACCATTATCTTCTACTTTCCCTGCCCTAGCCCTGGAATTGGTAATTTCTTCAAGGATCCCTGGTTCCTTTTAATGGGGAGTGGTATTTAAAGACCAAGACTGGAGTACTAAGTGTGCTCAATACTACTGGGATGCCATTTCTTTTAGACTTTGTCTATAGGCTTAGCTACAAAACAAAATGACTTCACACTGATACATAATTCTAATTCAGCATCACAAGGTTCTTCTTCCCTTCCCATTCCATATTTGTATACCCCCCTTTCTGCCATTGAGGGCCAGGGTTCCCAACAGCATTAGTGTATTTACTCATTTGCTCAGTCCTACAATTTAAAAGTTTAAAAGTTGTAAGAATCAATTCTATTTTCTTGCCAGGGTGATTATGTTACAATTTAATATGCAGTTAGGTTTACTTCCATATGTTGATTTCAACTTTAGGGTTCACTTTTTCTCATCCATTTAAACTAAGGTTATTTAGAAAATATATTACAGCCATTATTTTGAGAACACAAAAATTCCTAGGTGCTAGGAATACAACTGTGAACAAAACAGAAAAATTCCTTGCCTTGGTACATTCTAGAGGTGAAGACATGATAAGGAAAGATATAAATATTTCTATGGAGTCAGGCAAGGTAAGTATTATGAAAAGGATAAAGCAGGGTGAGGTTTGAAGAGTGATGGAGGTGCTATTTTGCATAAAATTGCCAGAGAAAACCTCTCTGTTAAGGAGAGAATTGAGCAGAGCCCTGAGTGATGTAGTGGAGCAATAGTTACAGTGTTTGGGAGAAGAGCTTTCCTAGAAGAAGGAACAGCAAATACAAAGATTCTGACCCTGAATAGCCAAAGCATACTGAAAGAGAAGAACAAAGCTGGGGCATTATGCTCCCTGAGTTCAAGCTATACTATAAAGCTACATTAATCAAAGCAGTATGGTACTGGCACAAGAACAGACCCATAGATCAATGGAACAGAATAGAGAGCCCAGATATAAACCCACACATGTATGGTCAATTAAAATACAGGAGCCATGAATATACAATGGGGAAAAGACAGTCTCTTCAATAATTAGTTTTGGGAAAACCAGACAGCTACATGCAAGAGAATGAAATTGGATTACTGTCTAACTTCATACAGAAAAGCAAACTCAAAGTGGATTAAATACCTAAATATAAGACATGAAACCATAAAACTCTTAGAAGAAAACAGGCAAAAATCTCTTGAACATAAGCATGAGCAATTTTTTCTGGGCACATCTCTGTGGGAAAGGGAAATAAAATAAAAAATGAGTAAGTGGGACTGTATCAAACTAGAAAGCTTCTGTACAGCAGAGGGCACTATCACAGAATACAAAGGCATTCTACAGTGTGGGAGAATATATTCATAAACAATTTATCTGATAAGGTTTTAACATCCAAAATATATAAAGAACTCATATATCTCAACAACAACAAAAAAACTTGATTAAAAAAATGGACACTTTTTAAAAGACAGACATTTTTCCAAAGAAGAAATACAGATGGCCAACAGGCACATGAAAAGATATACCACATTGCTAATTGGAAATGCAAATAAAAACTACAATGAGATACAACCTCATCCCAGTTAGAATGGGCACTATCCAAAATACAAGAAATAACAAGTTTGGACAAGAATGTGGAGAAAAGGGAACCTTCCTATTGTGTTGGTGGGAATATAAATTGGTGCAGCCACTGTGGAAAGTAATATGGAGATTTCTCAAAAAACTAAAAATAGAAATACCATATAACTCAGTAATTCTACTTCTTTGTCTTTACCCAAAGAAAACAAAATCCATGATTCAAAAGTGTATGCATCCCTATGTTTATTGACACATTATTTACAATAGCCAA